CCGTGTAAACACAGGAAGCGTTGACAACATTGTTCCAGCCACAGAAACAAATGGATTGTCTGAATTGTCAACGATCCTAACCAGAACAATTTGTCTCAGAGAGACCTATACAGATTGCAACCTGGAATATAGCTGGCTGGTAAAAGCCTGTGACTTGGTGAGATTCCTTTCTGGATCTGAGATAATAGCTTTACAAGAAACCTGGTTAGCAGGAGATTCGTATTCGATATACCAATCTTTCTGAACTTGGTTGCTTGCTGAAATGGATCAGCTGCCGTAAATCCACCTTCCAAATTGTATTTAAACAGAGAAATGCTCCAATGTCTTAGGGAGGTATTTACTTAAGCAAAATTTGAGCAGCTGAGCATAATGAATGGTTAAATAAGGAAGGTTTACTCAAGTCCCTTATAATGAATGTACTTGTATTTGCGGAGCCCCAAAGACAGAAGACATAAAACATATATTATTTGAATGTCAGTTGTAAAAGAGAGAGAAGGACCACTTATTACACAAATGGCCTATTGGGGTTCCTTACAGTGATGGGATTTGAGCCGGTTCGGGCGAACCGATAGTTAAATTGCTGGTTGGCCCATCCCTTCCCCACCCCTTCCAGGAGTCCCCACATGCCCCGTTTTAGCTCCCAGGTAAGTGCAATGAGGCCTACTAGGCCCAAAACGGGGTGCAGGGTGTGTGTATGTGGTAGCCCCCCCCAGCCTGTTTTTGCTCCCAGGAGGCTACAGGGAGGCCTATAAGGCCCAAAACAGGGCATGGGGGGTGTGGCGCCTCCTCCTGTTGCCCGTTTTTGCTCCCAGGAGGCAAAGTGTTGCCTGTCATACCCCTGGCCATGCCCACCATGGCCACGCCCACCCACCCAGTTATTAGAGCAGAGAACCAGTTGTTAAATTATTTGAATCCCACCACTGGTTCTTACATATATTTTATGTGCGGTCAGAATCCAAAACATACATATAGGCAGCCCTTGACTTATAACCATTGATTCAGGGGTGAAATGCTCCTGGTTCAGACCGGATTGCCTGATCTGGTAGCAATGGCGGCGGGTGGTTCGGAGAACCGGTAGCAAAAATCCCTGTCCCCCCTCCCCATGCCCAGCTGAGCCGCACAATCATCAGAGGCCTCTGATGATCGCCAGCTCAGCTGGGATCATCAGAGGCTTTTCAAAGCATTTTGGCCGAAGAGGTTGTAGAAAAAAAAAATCCTTTAAAAGCCTCTGGCGATCCCAGCTGAGTTGCCTGATCGTCACAGGCTTTTAAAAGCGTTTTTTTTCTGCAACCTCTTAAGGTTGTAGAAAAAATGCTTTTAAAAGTAAAAAAAAAAGTTGGCCATGCCCACCCGGTCTCATTATCCCCTCCCCCCCCCCAAGCAATGCCCACAGAACCAGTAGTAACAAATTTTACATTGCACCACTGCATTGATTCAATGACTTTTGGAAATTAGGACAGTGCTGAACGAAAGGATCAATGACTTCCGCCCAAAGTTCTGACCATTTCAGTGATCAGAGGATCAAAAATTAGGTGCTTGGCCGTGCACCCATCCTTATGACCACAGGAGCATGGCAAGCACCCTCACCTCTGGGAACAGGGACTTTGCTGGCGGACTTCTTATTCCTGGCCAGCCTTGAGAAACATTGCCTTCACTAGCTTTTTAGCTAGATTCAACTGGAAGTGTCGCAGTGATACAGTTGGGGAATAGCGGGCTCTGATGAGCCTTGCGAAAACCCGGGCTGACAACCCACTGTCGGGGAGTCTTCAGACCAGATCTGTCCTGTAGGGACGGAGAAGAAGGAGAGGCACCTCGGAAGACCAAGAGGAACAGTCAAGTTCCTCGGAGGTCGGAAGAAACCACCACTGATTGTTTGGCAAGTAAAAGGGAAGTGGACCCAGGCAGAGGTGGGGCTGAGAGAAGGCTAGGTCTCTCGGGAGTGGTGTTGGGGGAGGAATAAGGCTCACGGGTCACTGGACCTAGCCCACCAAGGACTTCCAGCCTGGGCAGGTTTCCACAGCCCTCCCTCAACAGAGGGAGAGGGATATGACATCACCTAGCCCCTATCTGCATCTCAGTCCTTTCACCGGTCCCAAGAAGCTTCCACATCTGTTTGCGCTTTGATTCAGATGATTCCGAGGATACAGATAAACCCTCGATGACTTTAAGAGAGCTAACAACCGACCTTCAAAGTGCTAACAACCAGACGATTGGAAAGAATGTAAATCCTTCCATTCCTCACCAGTTATTAGAAGTGAAGAAGCTTCTTGGATGAGAATAACGGAATAACCCTATGACTATCATTAAGTGTTGTACCTTATGATTCTTGATGAACGTATCTTTTCTTTTATGTACACTGGGAGCATATGCACCAAAACAAATTCCTTGTGTGTCCAATCACACTTGGCCAATAAAGAATTCTATTCTATTCTATAACTGTGTTGGAGGGGTCCTTGGAGATCTCCTAGTCCAACCCCCTTCTCAAGTAGGAGACCCTATGCCTTTTCAGACAAATGGTTGTCCAATCTCTTCTTTAAAACTTCCAGTGTTGGAGCATCCACAACTTCTGGAGGCAAGTTGTTCCACTGATCAATTGTTCTAACTGTCAGGAAATTTCTTCTTAGTTCCAGGTTGCTTCTCTCCTTGGTTAGATTCCATCCATTGCTTCTTGTTCTGCTTTCAGGTGCTTTGGAGAACAGGTTGATCCCCTCTTCTTTGTGGCAGCCCCTCAGATATTGGAACGGAGAAGTGAAAGTTTCTCAAAAGAAAAAAACCCAAGAAAGTCGAGTTTCTTTTTGAGGGGGAAAAAAAACACTTTTGGGACAACAATAAATGTGGGATGCCAAACAACAAAATTTGATCATGTGACCATGGGAATGCTGAATCAGTTGTAAGGGTGAGGACTGGTTATAAGACACATTTTTCAGTGCCGTTGTAACTTTGAATGGTCACTAAATGAATGTTGGAAGAAAAATCCGGTCCAGGTCCAAACCAGGAGAAAGGCGCTGGAAATAAAATGGAAGCCACATGGAAAGAAGGTCTCTGTTTATTGATGAACATAACCAACAACAGCATGCAGTTCTGGGACAGCTGACAAAATGGCTGAATGAGTGGATCGATCTTTATCAGCTTCTGTGACTTTGAAGTCTGAACTGTTCTTGGGATTGATCAATGAAAGGGCTTTTGTGTCTTTTGCTATTTCAATGGTGGTGGATTGCTTTTTTGCTTTGCTTTTTAATTTATATGCCGCCCTTCTCCGGAGACTCAGGGTGGCTTACAATGCATTAAGCAATAGCCTTCATGCTTTTGTATATTTATACGAAGTCATCTTATTGCCCCCACAATCTGGGTCCTCAATTTACCTACCTTTGAAAGGATGGAAGGCTGAGTCAACCTTGAGCCTGGTGGGATTTGAACTTGCAGTAATTGCAAGCAGCAGATGTCAATAACAGTGCATTAGTCCACTGTGCTACCAAGGATTAACCAAGGGTTAATCCTATTATGTCCTAAAGGTCACGTCCTGTTCTTAGAATTTGGATGGGGGATGTAAATTTTAATCCCATCAGGTGGAGCTGAAGATGTTTTGTTTATGAAGAGATTGGCCCAGTCTTTCTTAATGGGCACAAAATATCCATCTCTAAAGACTTCAGGCATCTGCTGGGGGCTGTTTTACTATGCAGGAAACAGGGGTTGCTTTCTGCCTTTAAGAGCATGTTTCTCCATTTCTCCTTTGGGGAAATATAATATTCTGCCTCTCTTAATATGAAGAATAAAGAATATTTTAATTTGGGGCGGGCGGGCTTCCTACAATTGTAAGTTGAGGACAACCTGTCCCATGAATTAAGCCAATCCATCTTAGAAATCGCTTTGCTTAAGGCTCTTTCGAAAATGGATCGGCCTTGTCGCAGATGAATAGTGGAGTTCTTTTATAATCTTGGCAAACCAACAGGCCAGTTCTTTCCCCCTCTGAGCCCTTTCTATCCTAAATGGCTGTCATTTGTCCTAACTCTCTTGGATTCCTTGCAGCAAGCTTGCCAGCTTAGGGGAAGCAATTCAGAAGAAATGACAGGCATTTTCCTGTAGAGTCGCAGAAGCATTTTCTGGGAGGCTGACAAGTTACAGCTTTTGGCAATCATTATCTGAATGCTACACATTAGCGCTGATTTGACTCAACTTCCCTGCCATGTCCATTTTGCCCTGTGAAGTACATGCACAGTTTGCTAAACGCAAACCAGAGAGGCTGTTTCAAAGATATTTGGTAGACGGTCTGCAAGCTGTGCAGAATACAGATGTTGAGACCTTAGAAAGAGCCGAGAAGAGCAGCAAAGAATGATAAGCGACCGTAGGATGAACAATTTGAGGTAATTAGGTATGTCAAGTTACTATTACTATATTATATGGTATGATGCTCATGAGCAAAAATTCAGGTCCACGTGTGAAGGTCCAGTTAAAGTAATTTATTGCTACTCATGCCAATGCACAGGAGTCTTCTCAACTAACCCTAAATTAGCACCCGCTTGGAGGTAGATAAGGGTCAATAAAATTCAAGGCAGATGTGAGTTACCAGCATTCCATTTGTGGCAGTGGTGGGTTTCAAATTTTTTTTACTACCGGTTCTGTGGGTGTGGCATGGTGGGCATGGCATGGCTTGGTGGGCGCGGCAGGGGAAGGATACTGCAAAATCTCCATTCCCTCCCGATCAGCTGGAACCTGGGAGGCAGAGAATAGATGGAGGCGTGGCCAGTCAGAATTTTTACTACCAGTTCTCCAAACTATTCAAAATTTCCACTACCGGTTCTCCAGAATTGGTCAGAACCTGCTGAAACTCACCTTCTGATTTGTGGCTATGTATGGATTCTAGGCTGATACCTCCTTTAACTCCACCCCCAGGTTCTGCCAATCCTCCTACATGAGTAGAGCAACAATAAGAAAAAAAACCTAACCTAATCTAAACTAAATTATTTACAAAGAGGAGTAGCAAAGTACTTCCATAGATATCCAGGGAATCATTGGATTCGACATGACTCAGAGGCATGTATGTATCTATCTATTTGTCACTGAATATTCCTTCCTTCCTTCCTTCCTTCCTTCCTTCCTTCCTTCCTTCCTTCCTTCCTTCCTTCCTTCCTTCCTTCCTTCCTGCAAGGCCATGCTTTTCTTGAATACTCTTATTCCACCCCCCCTTTTTCCCATAACTGAATAGTAGCATCTTCCACTTTGCTCAAATCGTTAAAGAACATTCCAAGTGATAAACAATTGGTATTACATTGAGGGGAAAAAAGGCAGTGTTCTGCCAAAGGAATTATTTTTCACATCAGTTCCAGTCTCATCTTTGATTAATTTTCATATTGTCCTTCATTATGGCTCATCCTTCTCGTTCAGAGGTGTCCTTCAGTTGGATTGTGAGAAAGAACCACAAATAAAAGAATCTCATCCAGCTTTTCTAAAAAAAAAAAAAAGGCTTCAGGAGGAGGAAGAGGAAAAGGAAGAGGAGGAGGAGGAAGAAGAAGAGGAGGAGGAGAAGGTGGAGGAGGAGGAGGAGGAGGTGAAGGAGGAGGAGGAGGAGGAGGAGAAGAAGGAGGAGGAAGAAGAGGAGGAGGAGGAAGAAGAAGAAGAAGAGGAGGAGGAGAAGGTGAAGGAGGAGGAGAAGACTTCATACTAACCTGGATAAGTCTTTAGCTGAGATTGGCTAAACTAGGCTGAGTGTGGAGGTATTTATTTGAAGTGTGTGACTAGAGCCAGATAATTAACATTATTATGGATTATTGCAGTTTGCTTGTTACGGTGGGCTGCTCCTTCCCCTCCCCTTTTTATTATGTATTATAAATCTTGATAACATTCTGTTGTTTAGATACAAGGATATTTACACATTAATGAAAATTATTGGCATTCTAATGTTGAGATCACTTAAAGTATTGCAAACAAAGAGAATATATATTTATCAATATTAATTACAGATGAGGATATCAATATTACAAATAACAAAATTGTTGGATCTTTTCATCCAACACGGGGCTGCTTTGAAGACCACATAGAAGTCAGTTGGTGGTAGTAAGCAGTATTTCAGTATTTGAGGGGCTGCCACAAAGAAGAGGGGGTCAACTTATTTTCTAAAACACCAGAAGGCAAGACAAGAAACAATGGATGAAAACTAATCAAGGAGAGAAGCAACTTGGAATTAAGGAGAAACTTCCTAACAGTGAGGACAATTAACCAGTGGAGCAGCTTTGCTTCAGAAGTTGTGGGTGCTTCATCACTGGAGGTTTTTAAGAAGAGTCTGGATAGCGACTTATCTGAAATGGTGTAAGGTCTGCTTAAGCAGGGGGTTGGACTAGAAGACCTCCAAGGTCCCATCCAGCTCTATTCTGATTGATTGATTGGTTGATTGATTGAAGTAGCCTTTATGATCTGTGGACAGTTCCAGTACTATTGTGTAACAGCTCTGTAGCAGACAAAAAAGCTCTACAGAGAATCATTAAAACTGCCCAGAATATCATCGGACTCCAGTTCCCAGTCCTGGACGACATCTTCAAATCTCGCTGTTTGAGGAAGTTGCATAACATTCTCAGAGACTCTTCCCATCCTGCTTACAATCTTTTTGGACTGTTGCCTTCTGGCAAAAGATCCAGAACAATTAAAACTTGGACCACATGTTTTCTGAATAGTTTTTATCCCAGAACTATAATTGCACTCAACAATGAACTAAAGGGCCACCATCAATGAACTGTTGAACAGTATTACTTGGTCTGTTGTGTGAATGTTTGGGTAGTTTAGGAGTGGAGAATTGTGGTGGGTGGGAGTGTGTTTTGGGACTGTTATGTGTGTTGGACCTGATCTTTGGGTGTTAAGTGAATTTTGTTGTATGCGTATACTGTGTATACACGTACAATGACAATAAAGTTATTTATTTATTTTAATTGCGGGCGTTTCTTTCTTTCATTTATAACCCACCTTTATTATATTTACGAGTAACTTAAGGTGGCAAATGTATTCAACAAATCTTCCTCCTCCTATTTTTCCCCACAATAACAATCCTGTGAGATGGGTTGGGCTGAGAAGGAGGGACTGGCTCAAAGTCACCCAGCTGTTTTTAATGCCTAAGGTAGGCCTAGAATTCACAGTCTTCTGGTTTCTAGCCTGGTGCCTTAAAATCATTAGATCAAAGTGGCTCTTTGAGTTGCACTGGTGACCAGGGGTGAAATCCAGCAGGTTCTAATAAGTTCTGGAGAACCAGTAGCGGAAATTTTGAGTAGTTCAGAGAGCCAGCAAATGTCATCTCTGGCTGGCCCCAGAGTGGGGTGGGAATGAGGATTTTGTAGTATCCTTCCCCCGCCACGCCCACCAAGCCACGCCCACAGAACCAGTAGTAAAAAATTTGGATTTCACCACTGCTGGTGACCAATATGTTTTGCAAGTGCTGTTCACCAACAAAGCCCTAAATCAGTGGCCATCAACCTTTTGGGCACCAGGGACTGGTTCCATGGAGAGAGGTTTTTCCGTGGACCGCAGGGGTTGTGGTTTTGTGCGCTGCCTGCATTCCACTGATAGGGCTTCGCTTGTTTGTGTGGCTTGGTTTCTGGCATGCTGCGGACTGATGCCAGTTCATGGACCGGGAATTGGGGCCCCCTGCCCTATATGATCCAAGATCTATATAAAGACTGCACCTGTCTTTCCCATATCAATTCTCCAAACTGAGAAGATTGGGAGTGCCAACTGAGAATCCCCATCTTGTCAACTCACAAAGCATCCCTGGTCTGCTCTCGAGTTGCCATAGGCCGGGGGGGATAGGAAACCGGCGAAACGGCAGATGCACATTCCATGCTTATCTCTCTCAAGGCTGTATCCCAGGGTTACCTACAGCAGCTGGAGCAGAGTGACCTCTACAACCCACGAAATTGCTCCATTGGCAAATGTGATTGATGACACACCTTGGGGGGAAGAGGAAATAGGGTCATAATTGGGGCGTAAATCACGTAGGGTCAGAACTGGCTTCACTTGGAACATGCCAACATGAAGCTCCTAATAAATAACTGGATTTCTTTTGAAGCTTGGCTCAAGGCTCATGATTTAATTAGGGCATCCCTAGGAACCCTGACACACCTACTGAGAGATATACTAGGAGCCTCCACCGCCATGAGCTTTCTCTATGGGGGATACTCTGAGAAGAGGACAGATAAGAAGCTTCCATAAGCTTATAAATTCTCAAGCTTGGCAGCTTCCATGTGGGTGGACTCCAACTCCCAGAATTCCCCAGCCAGCTTGTAAAGTGAGTCATCAGGTTGTTAAGCGAATCTGGCTTTCTCCATTGATGTTTGCTTCTCAGAAGCCAGTTGAGAAGGTAGCACACAGTGATACATGCTGGTTGACAAGCACCCAAATTTAAATCATGTAACCATGTGGATGCTGGGATGGTCATACGTATGAGGACTGCTCATAAGTCACTTTTTTCAGGGCCGTTGTAACGCTGAACGGATGCTAAACGAATGGTTGTAAGTCAAGGACTACTTGTATACTCTTCAAGGCAGATGTTTCGCATTTGTTGATTAGATCACCTAGATCAGTGTTTTTCAAACTTGGCAACCTGACAATATGTGGAGCTTAACTTTCACAATTCCCCAGCCAGAAATCCATACGTCTTAAAGCGTGCTGGCTTTAAGCAATATATCAGAAAATCAAAGAGAGGCGATGTGGGTAAGGAATAGGGAAGGAGTGAATTGGGTTGGAAAAAAAGGATCAAAGGGCTATTACTGCAGCATGCTTAACCTTTGTTAAAATTTGAATTTCAAAAAAAACCTGATAGGCCCAATTCAAGGCTATTTCTGTCTTTTTGCAAATGTTGCCTGCCATAATTCAACACAAGAGCCTCTATATTGTTGTGCACATTGCCCCATTCATTGATATGACTCCCCCTTTCTGTAAACGAAAGCACCACTAGAAATAAATAATTAGAACCGCATCCTCAGGGATCTTAGGCAGCCAAACGGACCTTTCAAAGAATAACAGAGTTGGAAGGGACCTTGGAGGTCTTCTAGTCCAATCCCATGCTCAGGCAGGAAACCCTGTACCATTTCACACAAATGGTTGTCCAATCTCTTCTTAAAAACCTCCAATGTTGGAGCATTCACAACTTCTGGAGGCAAGTTGTTTCACTGATTAATTGTTCTAACTGTCAGGAAATTTCTCCTTAGTTCTAGGTTGCTTCTCTCCTTGATGAATTTCCACCCGTTGCTTCTTGTCTGGCCTTCAGGTGCTTTGGAGAATAGGTTGACTCCCTCTTCTTTGTGGCAGCTCCTGAGATATTGGAACTTTGCTATAATAATAATAATGTTATAATAATACCTTTATTGTCATTGTATGTGTATACACAGAATACCCATACAACGAAATTCACTTAACACCCAAAGACCAGGTCCAACACACTTAACAATCCCCAAACACACTCCCACCCACCACAATTCCCCTAGTCTCCACTAGTCCTTCTTTTCATTAAACTAGACATGATGTCAGCACTTCAACCTGCATTTACTCTAGTGCTGACATAAGAAGGAGAAGAGGGGGCAGCTGGCAAGAGGACGCTTGACATTTCACCTACTTATTTTCCTTGAAGATAATATCCCCTAGGAAAGGAGATGGGAGGGGGGACATTCCTGGGAGATTAAGTAGTAGATATGGGGAGAGTGATTTGGAAGAAGGCCAATGAGACGCAGAGAATTGGGGAATGGAAAGAGAAGGTTTGGGGTCAGGAAGTCAGAGTTGGCTACGCCATGATCGGGGACAGATTGTCGTGCTTAATAAAATGAAAGATTTCTTCAAAGACTATCTGTTTGGAAATGCAATTTATTTTATTTGAGACGATATCGAAACCTGACACATACCCAGTTCCAGCAACAGTTCTTTATATGTTTTAGCCTCCAGTCCTCTAATCATGTTTGTTGCTCTTCTCTGAGACTTTTTCTAGAGTCTCAACCTCTTTTTTTTGTATCCTGGTGACCAAAACTGGATGCAGTTTTCCAAGTGTGGTCTTACCAAAGCAGTATAAACCAGTATTAACATTTCAGGTGATCAAATTTCTACAGCTAAGAAGCTGATATTACTTCCAAATAGCTGGGTGGGTAACAGGGAGGAAGCCCAGAAGTTGTCTTTGTTTCTTGTTGTGATCTTGTAAATGTCTAAAGCCGATGAGAAAAATGGTGTCAATTGTGAATAAATCAGAAGACCTCTGTAAATTAAAATGTTTCTCTGAAAGAAATGTGTCTTGCTCTCCCCTTTGGTCATACAGATAGTCGTTGACTTACAACTACTTACTTTGTGACCGTTTTAAGTTACAATGGCACAGAAAAAAAAGTGTCTTATGACTGGTCCTCACACTTACAACTATTGTGACATCTCCGTGATAACGTGATCAAAATTTGGGTGTCAACCCTGAAGCTGACCTGACC